AAAAAAAAAAAAAAAGCCCCTGAGGAGGAGGAGGGTCCCTGGGGGTCTCACCTCGGAGGTTCTCAGGATCTAAGGAGCTCTGAGGCCCTCTTCTTAGGAGGGGGTGGGGTGCAGGGTGGGTTTGGAGGTATCAGGGGTCTGAGGAAGGAATGAGAAGGGTTCTGAGGCCCCTGCCTGTCACTCACCCCTACCCCAGGAGGAGGTGGGGCGCTGGGTGGCTCATCAGGAGAAGGAGACGCGGCAGCTGCAGCGCCCTGGGTCTGCTCGCCTCTTCCCCCTGCCCGGGCGGGACCACAAGTATGCAGTAGAGATCCGGGGCCAGCTGAACGGCTCGGCAGGCCCTGGGCACAGCGAGCTCACTCTGCTGTGGGATCGGACTGGTGTGCCAGGAGGCAGTGTGAGTACCCAGGACCCACCTCCAACCCTAGCCACAGGCCCCAGCCTCAGATCACCTGGGCTTTCTGAACGCCAGGCCGCAAACTCTGAAATCCCTAGATTCTGGCCTCGGACTACTTAACTCTTGGCCTCTGAACTCTGAACCTCCCCTTGAACCCTGTGGCCCCTGACCTCTGCCCATAGACCCTGACCTGATCCCATAGTTTGACCCTTGTCTTCTGACTCCTCACCCTTGACCCTGCTGACCCTGACCTCTGCCCTCCATACTTTGACCTATAATAATCTCCAGATTCCTCCAGACCCTGGACCTCTACTGATTTCCTAAATTCTGACTTCCTATGTGCCTGAGTTCTCAACCTGAGTTCCAAACCCTTACTTTCAGTTAGCCCCAGACTCTGACCCCTGTCCCAGACCTTGACTGCTGCCCCTCCTGTGACCCCTTCCCCAGGAGATCTCCTTCTTCTTCCTGGAGCCCTACCGCTCGTCGGCCTGCACCTCCTATTCTTCCTGCCTGGGCTGCTTGGCAGACCAGGGCTGTGGCTGGTGCCTGACCAGTGCCAGCTGCCACCTGCGCCAGGGTGGAGCCCATTGCGGGGATGACAGGGCTGGTGGGTCCCTGCTGGTGCTGGTGCCTACCCTCTGCCCACTCTGCGAGGAGCATCGGGATTGCCATGCCTGCACCCAGGTGCCTGTGGGACCACCAGGGGAGGTCACAAGGTGGAGGCAGCCAGAGCAGGCAACAGGCAGCCAAGGGAACCCCTGGTGGGGGGCGTGGGGGAAATAGCAAGGGCTTTTGTCGTTGATCAGCAGAGCCTGGTGGGGAGGGTGAGATGGAGCTAGAGAGAGAGGCACCTGGGAGTCAGGACTCTCCCTGTTGCAGGGGCCAGAGAATGCAACTCCATCCTTTTCCACAAGCGGGGAGTTTCTCAGCACAGGCACTGGAGCCCAGGAGTAGGCCTTCAGGCCTGCCAGCTCCTAGTGATGTCAGGCAGCCCTCAACACCCTGCTTCCTCTTGCTCCCTGGGAGGGTTTGTTTCTTTGTGAGTTAAGGCTCCAGGCTCTCAGTCCTTGCTCTGTCTCAAACAGTGAGGCTTTCTGTTTCTCTCCCCTCTCCCCACCACCATCCAGGAGCTCAACAGAAGTCCCAGGATTGTACTTCGGTGGCTCTGGTTGGGCCTTGTGCAGGCTCCTGGGCCAATGACTGGAGTTGGGGGGAGGGAGTGTGGCCCCTTGCCCATCTCTGGATCCTGAGGATTGAATCAGCCCCACTCGGACCACACAGAAGGGGCGCTGTTGCCCAAAAGAGAGAGTCGGTGCTGGGCAGGCAGATCTATGGGTGTCTGTGGCTGAAGGGAGGGGTCCAGAGATGCAGGCAGCTGGGGAGGGAGATGGCCTTGCAGGGACAGTCTGCAGGGTGGGGCAGGGGGTGGGATAGGCACTGGGATCCCAAAGGAGATGGCTGAGTGGGGTTCTGACTCCTCTGCCCAACTGACCCCCAGGACCCCTTCTGTGAGTGGCATCAGAGCACCAGCCGCAAAGGAGACGCGGCATGCAGCCGGCGGGGCCGGGGTCGGGGTGCCATAAAGAGTCCAGAGGAGTGTCCCCCACTCTGCAACCAGTGAGTCTGGCTGGGTCCAGGGAGTGGGTGGGTGGTGCCCACGGATGTGGGCTGGCTGTGGAGTGACCTGGCCACCCGCTCCCCGCCCCAGGCGACTGACCTGTGAGGACTGCCTGGCCAACTCGAGCCAGTGCGCCTGGTGCCAGTCCACCCACACCTGCTTCCTGTTTGCCGCCTACCTGGCCCGGTACCCACACGGGGGCTGTCGAGGCTGGGATGACAGGTACGGTCCCTGGGGCAGGGTTAACAGAGGAAGATCCCCACTGGCAAGGGGCCGGGGCTCTGACCCCCACCCCTGCCATCCTGCAGTGTGCACTCGGAGCCACGGTGCCGGAGCTGCGATGGGTTCCTGACCTGCCACGAGTGTCTGCAGAGCCACGAGTGTGGCTGGTGTGGCAATGAGGACAACCCCACACTGGGACGGTGAGCCCAGGCGGGCAGGTGGGCAGGGTGCCCGGCTGTGTCCTTCCTCCATGACTGGTCATTCTAATAGCCTCTTTGCTTCTCTGCCCTCTTGCCCTGACCCCATCCCATGGCCACCTTCCGTTTTCCATATTGTTTTTCTGTTGTTTATTTTACCCTCCCGCTCTTTTTTCTCAATTTTTCCTCCTTTGCCGGTTCTCTGCAACTCGTTTTCTTTCTCCTTGTCTGTTTCTGTCTCTCTGCTCTCCTTTTCACTGCATCTCCGTCTATGTCTCTCTTCTGTCTTCCAAAATTGTTTTTATCTTCGACTTCTTCTGGTTTCTCTGTCCCTCTTTCCAAATCTATATTTTCGTCCCTCTCCTTGCGATTGGCCTCCTCTCTCCCTGTCATTGTTTCTACGTATGGCTCTTGTTTCTATGTTGTCCCCTGCTTCTTCACTCTCTCACCCCACAGGTGCCTACAGGGGGACTTCTCAGGGCCCCTCGGTGGGGGTAACTGCTCCCTGTGGGTGGGGGAGGGCCTGGGGCTTCCCGTGGCCCTCCCTGCCCGCTGGGCATATGCCCGCTGTCCTGACGTGGATGAGTGTCGCCTGGGCCTGGCCCGGTGCCATCCGCGGGCGACCTGCCTGAACACGCCCCTCAGCTACGAGTGTCACTGCCAGCGGGGCTACCAGGGTGATGGCATCTCACACTGCAACCGCACGTGAGTGAGGTGGGGGTTGCTATGGAGATGTCGCCCCAGGCTGGGGCACATGGAGGTGGAGGGAGGAAGCCATCATGGCACTGGGTCCCTTCCTGTGGAACCAGCATCCCTAGTTAGCCAGGGGTTTACCTTGCAGACTAGGTCCTCGTTAGAGTGACAGGGTCCCCAGTGTAACCCTGGTTACCATGGAAACAGGGCACCCATAGGCTGTGGGCCATAGTCTTCAGCGTTGCCATGGAGGCAGAGGACGTAGTTGAAAAAGGTTTTCACAGTGGTGCTATGTGGTTGCTATAGAGACAGGCGTGGTGATGCATGGAGTTACCTTGGAGACAGGGTCACCCACGTAGCGCAAAACCATGGAAACAGCCAGTGGCTTTGATGGTGTCATGAGGTGGGTGGAGGTGATGAGGTGCTTTAGGGGCTCTGGGCCTGCCTGGCGCTTTCCCCACCCCCAACACGGCCCCTCAGGTGCTTGGAGGACTGTGGCCATGGTGTGTGCAGCGGCCCCCCGGACTTCACCTGCGTGTGCGACCTGGGCTGGACATCAGACCTGCCCCTGCCTACACCCGCCCCGGGTCCCCCAGCACCCCGCTGCTCCCGGGATTGTGGCTGCAGCTTCCACAGCCACTGCCGCAAGCGGGGCCCTGGCTTCTGCGACGAATGCCAGGGTGAGCAGCCCTTGTCCTGGCCCCAGCCTGGACCCAGGGAGCCTCCTCCCTTCTTGGGGCTCCAGCTTGCTCTTCTTGGAGGAGGCCTCAGTGTCTTCTCATGCAGCTCTGGGTCCCCTGCCCCATTCCTGTTCCTGACTCAAACAGGTTTCAGTGCCACCCATCACTCTGGCTGGGCTTCACTTCCCCCTCTTGGGACTTGCTCTTTACCCTGATCTGGGCCTTGGTTTCTCACCTTTGAAGCAGCTGGGTGGGGTCAGGGTTTAGCTGACCCAGTAGGCCTGGGCCTGTTTCCACCCTTGACTTGACTCTATCCCACCTGCTGGGGCCTTCACAGACTGGACATGGGGAGAGCACTGCGAACGATGCCGGCCCGGCAGCTTCGGCAACGCCACGGGCTCTAGGGGCTGCCGGCCCTGCCAGTGCAATGGGCACGGGGACCCCCGCCGTGGCCACTGTGACAACCTCAGTGGGCTCTGCTTCTGCCAGGACCACACCGAGGGTGCCCACTGCCAGCTCTGCTCCCCAGGCTATTATGGGGATCCCCGGTGAGCCAGCGGGCCAGCCAGGGCTAGGTAGGGTGTGCTTGGGGATACAGTGGGGAGGGGCAGGACTGGTCTGACACTGGCTCTCCTCCATCTCCCCAGGGCCGGTGGTTCCTGCTTCCGGGAGTGTGGAGGTCGCGCCCTCCTCACCAATGTGTCCTCAGTGGCACTGGGCTCACGCCGGGTCGGGGGGCTGCTGCCTCCAGGTGGCGGGGCTGCGAGAGCCGGGCCTGGCCTGTCCTATTGTGTGTGGGTTGTCTCAGCCACTGAGGAGCTACAGCCCTGTGCTCCCGGGACCCTCTGTCCCCCACTCACCCTCACCTTCTCCCCTGACAGCAGCACCCCCTGCACGGTGAGCACTGAGGAAACAAGGGTTCAGGCCCATGAGCCAGAACCATGTCCCCTGACCCAGTCTGCATCCCCAGACCCTGACCCCAGTGTTGCTTTTTTGTTTGTTTGTTTTTGTTTTTTTAATCCTTCAAAACCCAAACTCCTCCTCAGATCCCCAGTGCTTTGTTCCTAGGCCCACAGACAGACCCTCCCACTTCCCAGATAGCTTCCGATTTCCCCAGCTCCCATCTCCAGTTCTCCAGATCCTCAATCTCCCCATTCCCAGACCAGGAATGGTAAATTGTTACACCTTGTGCACCAACTCTGATTGATTGGTACTGACTGCCAGGAGCTGCATGTGGAGAAAGAGGCTTAATGCAAGAGGTGCCTGATAGATGAGCCATGTCTACTTTGGACACAGGAAGGGGAGTGGTTGCCTCCCTGCCATAGTTTGACAGTCTCCCCTGGATGTTCAAACAGCCCATTTCCCAGTCTCAGATTGCCTCCCCCTCTTGAACCTCTCCTTCTCCCAGACTCCAGGTGCCCTCGTTCTCATCCTCATTGTCTCCTAATCCTCGATTCTGCACCCCTCTAGCTGAGCTACGTCCTGGCCTTTGATGGATTCCCACGCTTCCTGGACACTGGTGTTGTCCAGTCGGACCGAAGCCTCATAGCTGCCTTCTGCGGCCAGCGACGGGACAGACCCCTCACTGTTCAGGCCCTGTCTGGTACGGGGGCTGGGGAAGTGGGACCTTTTAGTCCTGGGCTATGTATCCCTTGCCCCCGAACTCATCACCTGAAGTGGGCGCAGGACCTGGGTCTGCCACTGCTTGTGGGGTGATGTAGTCCCTCACCATCTCTGGACCTCATTGTCCTTAGTTGAGAGGAAAATAGGATTGTGTTGGCTGAGCTATGTCTGCAGAGAGAGGGGCTGAATGAGACATGTCTCTGGGGCACATAGAATGTGGCTGGTGTGAGGACTCCACACCACTCACTCTTTCCAGCTAGACTGGAGTGTAGTAGCGCAATCTCAACTCACTGCAACTTCTGCCTCCCGGGCTCCAGCGATTCTCCTGCCTCAGCCTCCCAAGTAGCTGGGATTACAGGCATATGCCACCATGCCTGGCTACTTTTTGTATTTTTAGTAGAGATGGGGTTTCACCATGTTGGACAGTCTGGTCTTGAACTCCTGACCTCAAGTGATTCGCCCACCTTGGCCTCCCAAAGTGCTGGGATTACAGGCATAAGCCACCATGCCCGGCCTATATATATAACTTTATTGAGGCATATTTTATATATCGTAACATATCAAGTAATTCCTGTCCCACCTGCCCCCAAATCACTATCTTTTCTAAAGAGATCCAGTCTTATGTAAGGGCAGTAGGAGTTGTAGAAGGTTTGGAGCTTGCTGAGGACAGGGCCCAATTCACGTTTTGAGGATCACTGGGCCACCATGAGTGGGGAGGAGTGTAAGCGGCCAGGAGGACCAGTAGGGGATGGGTACCAGTGTCCAGGTGAGACGGGACTTGGGCTTGGATAGCAGCTCAGGAGGTAGCTATCAGTTGGTGAGAGATTTAGGCTTGAAAATCAATCTTGATGGGTTGGCCGAGGGAGGGGATGCAGACTGGTTCATCCTGGCGATGATTATGAATAATATGGTGCCTTCCTTCCCCGCCCAGTCACACTGGGTTTTCTCAGCATCTGGGGTTGAATGGGGCCAGGAGCGTGGCTTTGCTACCAGCCTCTGGCCTCTCTCCCCACAGGGCTGCTGGTGCTGCACTGGGAGGCCAATGGCTCCTCATCCTGGGGCTTCAATGCTTCGGTGGGCTCCGCCCGCTGTGGGTCAGGGGGTCCTGGGAGCTGCCCAGTCCCCCAGGAATGCGTGCCCCAGGACGGTGCTGCAGGTGCGGGGCTCTGCCGATGTCCTCAAGGCTGGGCTGGCCCACACTGCCGGATGGCTCTGTGTCCTGAGAACTGCAATGCCCACACTGGGGCAGGAACTTGTAACCAGGTACAGGTGGGAGAGGTCAAGCCTGGTGGGACAGGGCTGGTGATCAGGGCTCCCCTGAGTCCCTTGTCATCCCCCAGAGCCTGGGTGTGTGCATCTGTGCCGAAGGCTTCGGGGGTCCTGACTGCGCCACCAAGTTGGATGGTGGGCAGCTGGTCTGGGAGACCCTCATGGACAGCCGCCTCTCAGCCGTGAGTTGCGGGTACCCACTGTCTAGGGATGGTTGCCCCCAGGTCATTCTCCCACCTCCACTCCTGGTACCACCCCTACACCCTACACCCAGGCCTGGCACTTTGTCCTGACCCTAGCCTGATCCCTGACGTCCTCACCCACCCGTAGGACACTGCCAGCCGCTTCCTGCACCGCCTGGGCCACACCATGGTGGAGGGACCTGATGCCACCTTGTGGATGTTTGGGGGCCTGGGCCTGCCCCAGGGGCTGCTGGGAAACCTGTACAGGTGAGGACTGCCCTAGGCAGGTGGGATTCGTGAATGAGAGAAGGTCACCTCGGGATGCTAAGTGTCACCTCAGAGGAGTGCAGAAAAGCCTCTAAAGTAAAGGACAGCCCAAAGGATACTGGGACAGTTGTCACAGGAGGCTCACCCGGGGACACCTGGGGACCAGAGTACTTATTTAGGTGATGCTACCCCAGGGAATGGTGAGAGGACTGTCATAGGAAGGTCACCCCACGGGATGCAGGGACATCTGTCAGGCAGGGTCACCTTGAAAGATGCTGAGATGATTATAATGAGGCTGCTTTTTTGCACCCTGGCCCCAGGTACTCAGTGAGTGAGCGGCGGTGGACACAGATGCTGGCGGGAGCTGAGGACGGGGGCCCAGGCCCATCGCCCCGCTCCTTCCATGCAGCTGCATATGTGCCTGCTGGCCGTGGTGCCATGTATCTGCTGGGGGGACTCACCGCTGGGGGTGTCACCCGTGATTTCTGGGTCCTCAACCTCACCACCCTGCAATGGCGGCAGGAGAAGGTGAGCAACTCTCCCCAGCCCACTCCCCAGCCCTTCTGCTGGGCCCTGACAGAGACAGCTGTGGTAGCTCCTGCCAGCTTCACCCCCAGAGGAAACAGAAGCCCTGGACTTGAATTTCCTCAGCCATCCTGGGGCACACTGTTGTCTCAAGCCAGTCCTGGGCTGGGACACAGCTTCACTCAGCAGCAGAGAGAGGCCAGGGGAGCAAGGGTTTCCCAAAGCCACACTTCCCAAAGCCACACCAGGCTTGGGCAGGTGGAAATGCCAAGGGGCCCACTGTGCACCTGCCAGGACCCAGGCTGGTCTGACTGGCCCCTGGGGGGTCACTCCTTCCTTAGTACTTCAGGGAGGACTCTAGGGGGCTGAGGATCGCTTCTACCCACAAGGTGACCCCTGACCTCTAGCCCCATCGGTGACCTTGGCCCTCCATCCCTCAGGCCCCCCAGACCGTGGAGCTGCCAGCCGTTGCTGGTCACACCCTTACTGCCCGCCGAGGCCTATCTCTGCTCCTGGTGGGCGGTTATTCCCCGGAAAACGGCTTCAACCAGCAGCTGCTTGAGTACCAGCTGGCGACCGGCACCTGGGTGTCAGGAGCCCAGAGCGGGACACCCCCCACAGGTGGGGCTGGGGACCGGGAGGGGAAAGCTCCCATGGACCTCCCGGGCATCCAGGCTTCCTGTGGGCTCTCCATCCACTCCTGTGCTCTGTGGCCACCTGTTTCCCTCTCTTTCCTGCCCCCACGCAGATTCTCAGGACCCCCTCTTGAATGTTCACGTTCTCTGTCTGTCCTTCCCAGACTCCATAATTAACTGCCCACTCCTGGCCACATGTGGCCACCATCCCCTGCCCCCAGGCTCTGAGCTCCCTGCTCCTCAGGGTTTCTTCCTCAATCTCACTTCCTTTCTTTGATCGCTGTCCCCTAGACATTCTGGATGCCCTGTCTCCCTCCCGAGAACCTGGTAGAACTTCCTGCCAGTTGAGGACTCCCTTCTCTTTCCCAGAGTCTCTAGTAATTGTCTGTTCGAACCCAAGTGAGAGGGACAGGTGGAGAGAGGCTCCCAGGCCTCCAGCCTCAGTGGTCACTGAACAGGGGGACCGGGAGGTCAGTGGGATCAGTGGTGTTGTCAGCCCCTCCCCCAGCCTGTCACCCTGCCCCTCACCAGGTCTCTACGGTCACTCCGCCGTCTACCATGAGGCCACCGACTCCCTCTATGTGTTTGGGGGATTCCGATTCCATGTGGAGCTGGCAGCCCCATCCCCCGAGCTCTACTCCCTGCACTGTCCTGACCGCACCTGGAGCCTGCTGGCCCCTTCTCAGGGGGCAAAGGTCAGGAAAAGAGGCCCAGACCCATGGATGTATGGGGCAGGAGGGAGGGGCCCTCTTTCCCAGCGCCCCAGGGACTGGCTCCATCCCGGATTCCTGCTTCCCCTCCTTTCTGTGTTCCCTAACTAAGCTGATAACCCCACATCTCCCCTGCTTCCATCCCTGATTTGGAGGAGAGAACCTGAGGCCAGGAGGTCAGAGGCATGAGCTCTGCCCAGCTCTGTCCTGACTTGGTGTGGCCCTGGCAGGCCCCTTCCCTGTCCTGGGTTTTTCCACTCATACAAAGCAGGACCGAGGCTCCCTGCTCTTTCTGCCTTCAAGGCCAAGGAGAGTGTGTGTAGGAGGGCAGGGAGCCCTGTCTGCACTGGTTAGAGAGGCTGGTGGTTTCAGTCTTCACGTTTCCAAGCCCGTCTTGGGGGCAAGGGGCTAGAAGCAAGAGACTTGAGCCTCACCCCCAGGACGCCCCCACTGTCTCTAGGGAGATTGTGTGAGGAATGTGGGTGGCTCATCTCAAGGGGTCTGGGCTAAGTTCCTAGGGAGCAGCCTGGGTCATGGGGGTTCCGGGAACTCAGGAAGGAGATGGTTCTGTGGGCTGCTCTTGCCGGCACAGGAGGTTTCCTGGAGGAAATCTCACCTCACCTGAAGGAGGTGAGATTTGATGAGAGTTAGGATTGGGTGGGCTGCGGGGGCAGGTAGAGAAGTGCAGGGGTGACTGGAGGGCTGAGAGGGAGCAGAGGACAGCTCTGACAGGCTGTCCTGCCCGCCCCCCCACCCCGTCTCCCCAACAGCCCCGTCCCCGGCTTTTCCATGCCTCAGCCCTGTTAGGGGACACCATGGTGGTTCTTGGGGGGCGCTCGGACCCTGACGAGTTCAGCAGCGACGTTCTGCTCTACCAAGTCAACTGCAATGCCTGGCTTCTGCCCGACCTCACCCGTAAGTCCCCATTGTGGCTCCCAGGAGGCTGAGGGACATTGAGGAGGAGCCCCATACCCGTCCTGGGACTCCCACTCCTCACGTGTCACTGGGCCCCTGTAGACCCACTGGCAGAGCTCCCTTCCTTCTATATTATCTAAACACCAGGAGATGCCCTCCTTCCTTTTTTTTTTTCTTAGAGAAGTTTATTTTTTATTCTGACTGTAAAAGTAACAATGTTCACTGTATATAATTTGTAAAATAGGAAGGAAAAAAACACCCATAATCCCCCTCTCTAGAGACAACCACTATTAGACATGGGGGTGTTTCCTGCCAGTCTTTGCTGTTCATAGGTTAGAAGCGTGCCTGTCACTTGCCTTTTTATTTCAATGTTGTGAGTGACTGTTGTGAGTGTGCTTCTGCGTCTGTCTTCTTTCCTTTTTGCTTCTCTCTCTGATCCTTTGTCTCTTTTTCTGTTTTTGTTAGAGACAGGGTCTCACTCTGTTGCCCAGGCTGGAGTGCAGTGATGCTATGTTGGCTCACTGTAGCATCTGCCTTCCAGGCTCAAGCAAGCAATCCTCCCTCCTCAGCCTCCCGAGTAGCTGAGACTACAGGCACGCCACCAGGCCTGAATAATTTTTTTTTTTTTTTTTGTAGAGACACGTTTTTGCTGTGTTGCCCAGGCTGTTCTTGAACTCCTGGGCCCAAGCAGTCTACCTGCCCCAGCCTCCCAAAGTGCTGGGATTTAATTCCCTTTTTCTCTTAATCTGTCTTTTCCACTACTTCATGTCTCTCTCTCTCAATTTTGTTTTTGAGGATTTAAAAAAATTGAGGTGAAAGTCGCATAACATAAAATTAACCATCTTTTTTTTTTTTTTTGAGATGGAGTCTCGCTCTGTCGCCCAGGCTGGAGGGCAGTGGTGCGATCTCGGCTCACTGCAAGCTCCGCCTTCTGGGTTCATGCCATTCTCCTGCCTCAGCCTCCTGAGGAGCTGGGACTACAGGCGCCCGCCTCCACGCCCAGCTAATTTTTTGTGTTTTTAGTAGAGACGGGGTTTCACCGTGTTGGCCAGGATAGTCTCGATCTCCTGACTTCATGATCCACCTGCCTTGGCCTCCCAAAGTGCTAGGATTACAGGCATGAGCCACGTGCCCGGTCAAAATTAACCATCTTAAAAATGCATTGGTGGGGCCAGGCACAGTGGTTCATGCCTGTAATCCCAGCACTTTGGGAGGCCTAGGCGGGTGGATCACGTGGTCAGGAGATCGAGACCTTCCTGGCTAACACGGTAAAACCCCGTCTCTACTAAAAATACCAAAAAATTAGCCGGGCGTGGTGGCAGTCACCTGTAGTCCCAGCTACTCAGGAGACTGAGGCAGGAGAATGGTGTGAACCTGGGAGGCGGAGCTTGCAGTGAGCTGAGATCACACCACTGCCCTCCAGCCTGGGCGACAGAGTGAGACTCCATCTCAAAAAAAAAAAAAAAAAAAGCATCGGCGGCCTGGCGCAGTGGCTCTCCCTTTTTTTTTTTTTTTTTGCTTGCTGTCTCTCCTTATGTGTTTCCTCTGTTTCTGCTCTTTTTTTTTTTTTTTTGAGACATGGTCTTGTTCTGTTGCCCAGGCTGGAGTGCAGTGCACTGCAGCCTCAACCTCCTGGGCTCAAGTGATCCTTCTACTTTAGCCTTCCAAGTAGCTGGGGCCACAGGTGCATACCACCATGCCCCACTAATTTTTTATTGTTTATAGAGACGAGGTCTTTCTATGTTGCCCAGGCTGGTCTTGAACTCCTGGGCTCAAGCAGTCCTCCCGCCTCAGCCTCCCAAAGTGTTGGGATCAGAGGTGTGAGTCACCACATTTGGCCTTGTTTCTGCTCTCCTTTGACCCTGTGTTTCTCCTCTCTCCCTGCATCCTTCTCTGACTGGCATCGTGTGGGTCTCTTCCTGGAGTCTCCTGCTCTCTCTTTGTCTGAATACTCCATCTTTCCTTAGGCCCGGCCTCTGTGGGACCCCCAGTGGAGGAGTCTGTGGCCCATGCTGTGGCAGCAGTCGGGGGCCGCCTGTACATCTCCGGGGGTTTCGGGGGAGTGGCCCTGGGCCGCCTGCTGGCACTGACCCTGCCCCCTGACCCCTGCCGCCTGCTGTCCTCACCCGAAGCTTGTAACCAGTCTGGGGCCTGCACCTGGTGCCATGGGGCCTGCTTATCCGGGGATCAGGCCCACAGGTAACCATGGCGACCATGGCAGGCAGTGGGGAGTGGAGCCCTCTGAAGGGGGTCCTGTGCTAGGCCACACCAGGACAGAGGCCTCAGGAGTACACTGTCTGGTTCAGAAAAGGGGTGAATCACCGCAGGCAGGGTGGCCGGGGGAGCTGAGTGGGGACACCTGCCTGGGACTGGGGTCTCATGCAAGAATACTTGCTGGAGGAGCTGAGTCTGAGCTGGGTCATAAAAGAACGGTAGAGTGGAGACCATCAGTGATTCGGAAGTGAGGCTGAGACTGGAAGCCGGAGGGGGTCAGCTCAGACAGGGCTTCCCGTGCCTGGCAGAGGCACTGGCTCCATCCAGCTCCGCAGACTCCTCAGCTGCGGTTCCGGGAATCCAGACATCCTGGACACTGAAAGTGCTTTCCTAAGCTTAGCACAGACTCACTTGGCTGCCAGTCACCCTCACTGACGTGAGGCTAATAGTGAGCCTTATTCGTCCAATGGGTGTGTTGTCAGTTACTACAAGAATGTTAATGGTTTGATTACGGGGTGCTGTTTCCCCCAGACCCCACTGGAGGTGTTGTGTAACAGTGGGTACACCCACTGCTCTTCTAAAATCCAGAACAGTCTGAAATGTGTGTACCTCTTGGGATTTGGGGCAAGGGATTGTGGACCCCCATTGTGCAGGGCAGGGAGCCATGGAAGAAGGCCTGAGCAGGACAGGGCAGGGATGGACCTAGGCAGTGACATCCCTGGAGCTGTTGTGAGGGGTAGAGTAACGAGAGGCTGCAGGTGGGGACCAGGTTGGGCAAGGGGCTGCGGGAATGGGGAGGAGGGGATGGTCAGAGAGAAATCCAGGAGGCAGAAGTCTTCGGTGGCTGCATGGGCGGGAGGACCTGTGGTGTGGTCCAGCATCTGCGGTCTGGGTGACAGGTGGATGTGGGACCATCTATTACCAAGTAGGGGTAGGGAGAGCCAGGCCCAGGAGCCCTGTGCTGTGTCCTGCTTGGGATGCAGGGTTGGGGACCTGCAGGACAGTGTCTGGGAGGCAGAAGGAGGGGGTCTGGATGGATGTGAGTGAGCCAGGCCTCATTCCCTTTAGACTGGGCTGTGGGGGCTCCCCCTGCTCCCCAATGCCTCGCTCCCCGGAGGAATGTCGACGTCTCCGGACCTGCAGTGAGTGCCTGGCCCGCCATCCTCGGACCCTGCAACCTGGAGATGGAGAGGTGAGTGGTGGGGGAGACGGGGATGAGAAGCAGCAGGTGTAGGGCAGGGAGGTCCTGGTCTCCACTCTGGTCAACTGTCCCACCCACCCCAGGGTCTCAGGAACCACCGAGCTCTCAGCTGGCTCAGGAGGGGTGCTGAGGGCCCCATCCAGCCTGTCTTCCCTCACCAGGCATCCGCTCCCCGCTGTAAGTGGTGTACCAACTGCCCCGAGGGTGCTTGCATTGGACGCAATGGGTCCTGCACCTCTGAGAATGACTGTCGGATCAACCAGCGAGAGGTCTTCTGGGCAGGGAACTGCTCTGAGGCTGCGTGCGGGGCTGCCGACTGCGAGCAGTGCACGCGGGAGGGCAAATGCATGTGGACACGGCAGTTCAAGAGGACGGGTGAGCAGTGGGCCCAGTTCCTGAGAGGGGAGTCTTGGGGCCTGGACTCCTGGGTCTGAGGGAGGAGGGGCTGGGGGCCTGAACTTCTAAGTCTGAGGGAGGAGGGACTGGGCCTTGATTCCTGGGTCTGATGGAGGAGGGGCTGGGGGCCTGGACTCCTGGGTCTGAGGGAGGAGGGGCTGGGCCTTGATTCCTGGGTCTGAGGGAGGAGGGGCTGGGCCTGAGCTCCTGGGTCTGAGGGAGGAGGGGCTGAGCTTGTGATCTCCTGGGTCTGAGGTTCTAATCCCCATGCCCCACCCCCAGGGGAGACCCGCCGCATCCTGTCCGTGCAGCCTACCTATGACTGGACCTGTTTCAGCCACTCTCTGCTGAATGTGTCCCCCATGCCGGTGGAATCATCACCCCCACTGCCCTGCCCCACCCCTTGTCACCTCCTACCCAACTGCACCTCTTGCCTGGACTCTAAGGGAGCGGATGGGGGCTGGCAGCACTGTGTCTGGAGCAGCAGCCTGCAGCAGGTACTGTACCCAGCCAGGACCGTGCCAGGCAAGGGCCCGGGCAGGTCTCCCTCCTCTCTGCCCTGGCAGGGACCTTTCTTCCACCATCTCCTCCACCCTCCTCCTTCCATCTCCCTGGCTTTAGCCACAGTCCTGCTTCCTTCTGGTGCCACCATCTCTTTCCTCCCTCGTTGCCTTGTGAGGGTCCCTGCTGTGTCCTCCAGCCATGCTTCTGTGTGTTTCCACTTTCCCAGCCCCCAGCCTCTGCCTCTCCAACTCTTGTCCATGGTATCATGGTCTCCTCATCCTTTCCATGACTTTAAACATTTTTAAATTTAATTTTTATTGTTAATTTTGTTGATATAATTCATAGGTTCACATCCACGACTCTTAATACTTTCCTCTTCAACCTCCCAAACCTTTTCTGTTTCCCTCCTCTCTCTCTTTCCCTTTCTACCGATGGAACTTTTGGTTGTAAGAAAGAGACACTCCCTCGAGCTGGTTTTGTTATAAGGAAGTGGGGGTATTTGATGGACTCTGAGAGTAGGAAGTGTTGATGCTCTGCCGCTCTCAGGCCACATGACCCATAATCTTCTCAGCTGTTCTCTGCACTTCTCCATTGTCTGCTTTCTCTCGGCCTGATGGTCAACACACATGGCCTCAGATGGTGGCCTTGACTCCCAGTATAGATGCCTTCTAATTCCAGAGACCACGTTCATCTCTGTGTTTGTCGGTTAGCTCACATTCTCGAGGAGAAACTCTGACTTAGTGCACGAGCTACATGTCCAGCCTTGGTGTAGTGGGATGTGGCCAGGGAGGGCTAGGAGCATGCCGTTCAAATGTGGCAGGTCAGATCTAGGCCTCTTCTAGGCTGTGGGGTGGAGAGATCATTCCTGAAGGTGGGTGTGGCCTAGGCAGGCATGTGTGTACCCGTGACAGTCCGCCCCTTGGACTGCCCAGTGCATGCTCTCTTGTTTCCAGAAAGTCCATTCCAAAGATGCTTCCGCCTGACATGATTAAACTGTTGCGGTGGCAGACAAAGGCATTCGCACCCCACCCCACTGCCCCCCAGTGGGAGATAAGACACATTCACCTCCCACTGTCCCATGTGGAAGCACTGTCACTCAGCCAGAGTCCACTCCTCATTCATACTTCGATTGTGCAAGACCCACTGGAGGCAAAACTACTCACCATCCCACAACCCGTGAACTAAGTGATCAGTCCAGCCACCCAGACACTAGTAGACAACAGTGCAGGGGTGCAGGGATGTGGGACACTTGCCATTTTGAGAGGTAGACCAAAGAAACCAACAATGCTTCATGGAAATCCGAGACCAGGAGGGCAGGGTGTGGAGGACCAAGAATCCCACAGACCTTGGCATCCAGTGCTAGGAGCCCTGCCTGGGAGTGGTACATTAGCTCTCACCCGGAGGTAGTTTGCCTTGTGATCAGAAGCTCAGGCTGTGAAGTCAGTGGGGTCTGGGTTTGACTCCAGCTTGGCCACTTCCTGGCTGTTTGACTTTGGATGAGTGGCTTCCCCTCTCCGAGACCTCAGGGAGAGTTAGCTAAAATGGGAATCATTTCACTAGATCCTGTCCCCTAGGGAGGTTGTACCATTTAAATGGGGGATAATTTACTTAGAGCATAGAGCAATGCCTGCCATTCAGGAAGGACTAAAAAATGGTTAATGATCATGATCATTGTTATTGTAATGAGCAGTGGTGAGAGGGCCAATCTGGCTGACCCAAGTCCTGCCACTGGGAGGGTTCCCAGTCTCCATTGTATGGGACACACCAAGAGGGTGGCTGCGGGAGTTCCCCATGGGGGCTCTCGATGTGGCCAGAAGGGCAGAAGCCCCTGTGATTTTGGTCTGTGGTAAAGCAGGGGCCTCTTGTCTCCAAGCCTGGGGTTCTACTGGTGGTATGGGTACTCCCCAGATATTATTGAAATTTCCATCATTTATCTTTGTGGGAGCTCTAGGAACCAGAAGGCATACCCACAGTCCTGTGGGCATGCACTGTTCCCCCAGCCTCTTGGTGCCTGCCAGGTTCTCACATGCCTGAAGAGCTGGGATGGCTAAGGAGATTGGGGAGTGGCCAGGAGGGAGGCAAGGGGACGAGGTGGGACCAGTGAATTGGAGAGCACAGCCTGCTCACAGGGGCCAGACGAGCATAGTGTTGATGGTGTATGTGAATGTGAGAGGGGACTTTTGCCAGACCTTCTATGAAACCTCATAGCTTTAAAGTGCTGGCTTAGCTGGGTGTGGTGGCTCAGGCCTGTAATCTCAACACTTCAAGAAGCTGAGACAGATTGATTGCTTGAGGCCAGGAGTTCGAGATCTGCCTGGGCAACATAGCAAAACCCTCATCTCTACAAAAAAAAAAAAAAATTAGCCAGGTATGGTGGTGTGTGTCTGTAGTCCCAGCTACTTGGGAGGCTGAGGTGGGAGGATCATTTGTGCCTGGGAGGTTGAGGCTGCAGTGAGCCATGATTATGGCACTGCACTCCAGCCTAGGTGACAGAGCGAGACCCCATCTCTAAAACAAAAGAAAACAAAACAAAAAAAATTAGTCTGGGCGCTGTGGCTCACGCCTGTAATCCCAGCACTTTGGGAGGCCAAGGGGGGTGGATCATGAGGTCAGGAGTTCAAGACCAGCCTGACCAATATGGTGAAACCCTGTCTCTACTAAAAATACAGAAATTAGCCAGGCGCGGTGGCACATGCATGTAATCCCAGCTACTCAGGAGGCTGAGGCAGGAGAGTCGCTTGAACTTGGGTGGCAGAGGTTGCAGTGAGCTGAGATTGTGCCACTGCACTCCAGCCTCAGTGACAGAGTAAAACTCTGTCTAAAAAAAAAAAAAAAGAAGTGTTGGCTTAGATTCCACCACACAAATCAAACATAACAGGTGAGACCTGTTGTGATTTGGCTCAAGGGCTGCCTGATTCTAACCTTCCAGCATTGTTCTTTTTTTCTTTTTTTGGTAACGGAGTCTCGCTCTGTCGCCTAGGCTGTAGTGCAATGGTGTGATCTCAGCTCACTGCAGTCTCCACCTCCCGAGTTCGAGTGATTCTCCTGCCTCAGCCTCCTGAGTAGCTGGGACTACAGGCGCATGCCACCACACCCGGCTAATTTTTGTATTTTTAGTAGAGACCGGGTGTCACCATATTGGCCAGGCTGGGCTCGAACTCCTGGCCTTTTGATCCACCTGCCTTGGCTTCCCAAAGTGCTGGGATTACAGGTGTGAGCCACCGCCTGGCCCAGCATTGTTCTTTTTAATGACTTTGGCCTGTGAGTCTGGGGCAGGCAGCGAAGACACCCTTCTCTGGTCTGCCTCCTTCCTCCCATCCACCCTCCCTCTCTTCAGCGAATTTATCATTGAGCACCTTCTTTCTGCTGGGCGCTTTGCTAGGCTGGGGGAAATGTCAGCAGACGAGCTAGAGTCCTGCTCTCAGAACTTACGTTCATACACCTTTTCCATGAACTCAGGAAATGCAGTGTATGGTGTTGGGCATCTTTGCATTTGGTCACTAGGGAGATCACAGCAGAAAGTGCTGTCCAGGACTGAGGATTCAGGGTGCTCTACCCCTCCCAGATTGTCCCACCATCTGCCAACAAGCGTCCTAAATTTAGATCTGGAAGCCCAGCCCAGCAGAGAATTTGCCTCTGGCAGTTCAGCAAGTCTCAGCTCTTTGCAGGCCCCTCAGTGGGCTCAGAGCTCCAGCCACAGCAGTCAGGGTTTTCTATTTTAGGATTCCATGGTTGCTTTGCCTTTTCTTAAGTGCTTTCAGGCAGCCAGCCCAGATTAATCTCTTTCCTCTTATACTTCACTTATGGCCCAAGCAATAAATAAAATGCCTGTATTATACACTGAGGTAAGTTCCCAAGAGCCTGAATCTCATTGTGCACATTTTTGGGGTCCTGACATATAAATATGGCTTGTGAGTTGCTACCCACCCCCTAACCAAGGACTCGTCAGCTTCTCAGTGTGGGGTGGGAGAAGCCTTTTTTTTTTTTTTTTTTTGCCTCAGCAGCCCCATTTTTTTTTTTTTTTTTTTTTTTTTTTTTTTTTTTTTTTTGAGATGAGTCTCGCTGTGTCGCCCAGGCTGGAGTGCAGTGACACGATCTCGGCTCACTGCAAGCTCTGCCTCCCGGGTTCACGCCATTCTCCTGCCTCAGCCTCCTGTGTAGCCGGGACTACAGGCACCCGCCACCACACCCGGCTAATTTTTTCTATTTTTAGTAGAGATGGGGTTTCACCGTGTTAGCCAGGGTGGTCTCGATCTCCTGACCTCATGATCCACCCGCCTCAGCCTCCCAAAGTGCTGGGATTACATTTTTCTAAGAAACTGGTTTGCAACCCTACTCCTGATACTCTTTTCTATCTGTTTCTCGGATCGTTGCCATTGTTCCTTTACCTGGAAGAAACAGAAGCGCTCTTAGTGAGGAGGGGAACTCCCTCCACCAATACAATGGTACCTGTTGGAACCCAGGGTAAAAAGTACAGCAGGGCCTCATGAGGAACTGGAGACAGAGCCTGGACAGCTGCCTTTCCATCTGTCTTTGGGGCACGTGGTTCTCATCTCTGTCTCTTTCTGCAGCCTGCTCTTTTCCTGTCTGTCTGCGTCCTCTTTCTTTGATCATCATTTGCTTATCTAAACAATCCCTTCAACCCAAGTCTACGTGATCTTCCAGTTTATTTTGTTTTTTTGAGACAGGGTCTTACTCTGTTGTCCAGACTGGAGTGCAGTGGTGCAGTCACGACTCATTGCAGCCTCAACCTCCCGGGCCCAAAAAATCCTTCCACCTCAGCCCCCCAAGTAGCTGGGTCTATAGGTGTGTGCCTTCATGCCCAGCTAATTTTTTATTTTTTGTAGAGATGGTGTCTCACTGTGCTGCCCAGGCTGGTCTGGAACTCTTGGGCTCAAGTGATCCTTCCACTGTAGCCTCGCAAAGTATTGGGATTACAGGTGTGAGCCACTGTGGCCAGGCAACCTTCCAGTTTCAAGATCCTCCCCAGCCCGACTTCCAGCCTTGGGGTGTAGTTACAAATGCTTGAGAGGGAAAACCTGAAGACCCCAGTTAGTGTCCACTTTGCTCTACCTGTCTGTGGCCAGGGAGGGGCGAGACCTCAAAGAGGGTGTGGTCTGGGAAGATACCCAGAATGTGTTTGTTTAACCTTATTTCCCCACCTCTCTCTTCCCTGCATCCCCATCCCCCTCCCTTCCCCATACAGTGTCTGAGCCCTTCCTACCTGCCACTGCGATGTATGGCCGGAGGCTGTGGGCGGCTGCTCCGGGGACCTGAGAGCTGCTCCCTGGGCTGTGCTCAGGCAACCCAGTGTGCCTCGTGCCTGCAGCGCCCCCATTGCGGCTGGTGTGCCTGGGGGGGGCAGGATGGAGGCGGCCGCTGCATGGAGGGTGGACTCAGCGGCCCCCGTGATGGTGAGAGGGCTTTGGACATGGGGGAGAGGGATTGGCCCTTGGCTGGTGTCTGATACAGTGAACATGGGGGTACTGGGCCAGACCCAGAGGTGGGACTCAGAGGAAGCAGGAGGGAGGGCCTAGGCGGCTGGGGCAGGTGGTACAGAGGTCCAGGTAAAACGCTATATCCCTGGTGCTAGGACTGACGTGTGGGCGTCCGGGGGCCTCCTGGGCCTTCCTGTCCTGCCCCCCCGAGGACGAGTGTGCAAACGGGCACCACGACTGCAACGAGACGCAGAATTGCCACGACCAGCCCCATGGCTATGAGTGCAGCTGCAAGACAGGCTACACCATGGACAAGTGAGGCTGCAGGTGGCGCGGGGGCCAGACAGGCTAGGGTGGGAGAGTCTGTGGGAGCAGTAATGGATGAGGCCTAGAGCCAAGCAGGATGGAAGAAAAGAAAGCTTGAGGCATGAAGGCAGTGGGATTGATCCCGGAAGGGCAAGTGTGGTGAGACTGAGCAGGGAAGAATGAGTTTCATAGGGTACTCCAGTGGCCAGGCACAGTGACTCATGCCTGTAATACCAGCACTTTGGGAGGCCAAGGCAGGTGGATCACTTAAGGCCAGGAGTTTGAGACCAGCCCATAGGGAGACCCCATCTCTACAAAAAAATCAAAAAAAGAATAGGGTACCCTCAAAAGAGGAGAGGGGTTGTGGGCTACACCTGGAGCGGGTGGTGGGCTAGATCCTGAAGAGGAGATAGCAATGGGACAGAGCAGGGATGAGCAGCCAGTTGAGAAGAGGGTGGGGTAGTGGGTTGGGCGCTAGGCCATGGAGCCATGAGGAGGGTGGCCACCTGCCCTGACCCCTACTTTGCCCCTGCAGTGTGACCGGGCTCTGCCGCCCTGTGTGCGCCCAGGGCTGCGTGAACGGCTCATGCGTGGAGCCCGACCACTGCCGCTGCCACTTTGGCTTTGTGGGCCGCAACTGCTCCACAGAATGCCGCTGCAACCGCCACAGTGAATGTGCTGGTGTTGGGGCGCGCGACCACTGCCTGCTCTGCCGCAACCACACCAAGGTGGGCCTTCTGGGGCCTCAGACCCCTGACCCTGGGACCCAGGCCCTTGCTTGCCTTCTTCCCACACTCAGGCAGCTCACATCTCATTCTGAGCCCTGATAAGCCAGGAATAGATAAGCCAGAGCCTTGTCCCAGGGAGATGTGTGGAGACTTGGGGGACGCTGCCTGGGTTTGGATCCCAGAGGATCTGCCCTGGACTAGTGGACGGAGTGGGAGCTGGGCCAGAAGGACAGGCACGTGGAGGAAGATTTGAGATAATGGAGGGAAGGGCTTTTGAACTCAGGACTTTGGGCTGCAGGTGTGCAAGGGAAGGCAGGGGCTAAATCCCAGGGAGGCTGGGATTGTCCAAACCAGGTAGCCGAGCCTCTGCTGCCCTCCCATGGGCTCTCAGAACCTGCCCCTGTGCCCCTCACGCCCTCCTACCCCAGGTGACTCTCCAGTCTATCTGACCACCCTGTCCTCGGTTCTCAGGGCAGCCACTGTGAGCAGTGCCTCCCACTGTTTGTGGGTTCAGCTGTCGGGGGCGGGACCTGCCGGCCTTGCCACACCTTCTGTCGTGGAAATAGCCACGTCTGCATCTCCAAGAAGGAGTTCGAAATGGCCAAGGGAGAGCCACAGAAGTACTCACTGGACCCAGAGGAGGTGAAAGAGAGTGGGGTCAGATGCCTGGGTCTGAGGGAGGAGGGGCTGGGGAGCTCCTGGGTCTGAGGGAGGAGGGGGCTGGAGACCTGGACCCTTGGGTCTGAGGGAGGAGGGGCTGGAGGCCTGGATTCCTGGGTCTGAGCATAGAGGCTGGAGTCTTAGACTCCTGGGTCTGAGGGAAGAGGGGCTGGGGCCTGGACTCCTGGGTCTGAGGGAGGAGAGGGTGGGAGCCTGGACTCCTGGGTCTGAGGGAAGGAGTGGGCTGGTCCATGCCTTTCTGTGATCACACTGTCCTTCCTTGGCCAGATTGAAAACTGGGTGACAGAGGGTCCTAGTGAAGACGAGGCCATGTGTGTGAACTGCCAGAATAACAGCTATGGAGAGAAATGCGAGAGCTGCTTGCAGGGCTACTTCCTCCTGGACGGGAAGTGCACCAAGTAAGAGGAACGGGGGTGCCGGAGATCCGGCCCTTCTCACTGGGAGTAACTCTAGAGCCAGACCCCCTCCTTAGTCCTCTGCCCCTAGTCAGGAGAGGATGACATCCCCAGGGAGTGCCCAGGCTAAGTTCGGGGTAGGGAAGGAACTGGAATGTGATGCCACTGCCTACCTCCAAGGCTAGTGCTGAAGTGCAGGCCACAGAGCGGCCCGATCGAGAACAAGATGGGACGGCTGAGGGCAGAGGCCTTGGAACAACCTCCCCTTTCCATCTCCTTCTTTCTGGGTGTTCAGTGAGTGCTGGAGTCTGTGCAACTTGGGTTCCAATCCCAATGGCAATTTAACTGCTTTGTGGCCTTGGGCAAACAGCTTGACCTCTGTGAACCTCAGTTTCCTCTTCTGGCCTGTTGCACAGAGTTGAGCTCACATAGAGGGTGTCCATCCTGGACCGCTGCAGGCCATGGGGGCTCCGTAACCCTCAACTTCTTCCCCAGATGCCAGTGTAACGGCCACGCGGACACATGTAACGAGCAGGATGGGACGGGCTGTCCGTGTCAGAACAACACAGAGACAGGCACATGCCAGGGCAGCTCCCCCAGTGACCGTCGAGACTGCTACAAGTACCAGGTGCGGCTGCAGAAGCGAGTGATAGGCCAAGGGCCTTACACCTTGTAGAGGTCAGGGCTGGGATGAGGTAGCCAGGCTCGGGCAGGACTGACAACATGGTTCTGAATCAGTGGTTTTGGGATCAAGGGCAGCTTGACAGACTGTTCCTGAGCCCCATTCAGTTATAGGCCCTGGGCGGTGATGCTGGGGACCCAGATATGAGCCTCTGGGGGACTCTCAGACTGGTTGGGAGACAGTCTCCATTACAAGTAGTCACAGCTAAAGGTGGCACATGCCAGAAAATCTATCTCATGGTAGCTGCACCGAAAAAAGAAAATGGGCTGGGCATGGTTGCTCATGCCTGTAATCCCAGAACTTTGGGAGGCTGAGGTGGGAGGATCACTTGAGCCCAGGAGTTCAAGACCAGTCTGGGCCACATAGTGAGACCCCATCTCTGAAAAAAATTTAAAAATTAGCCTGGCATGGTGGTGCACATCTGTGGTCCCAGCTACTTGGGAGGTGGAAGTGGGAGGATCTGCACTCCAGCCTGGGTGACAGAGCAAGACTCTGTCTCCAAAAAAAAAAAAAAAAAAAGAAAGAAAAAAAAAAACAGAAGACAAGAAAATGTATTGACTCTAAGAACTGAGGGTCTGGGGTCTGCCTTCAGGACTGGCTGGATCCAGGTACTCACACAATGCCATCAGGAGTCTCTCTGCATCTTGACTCTGCTTTCCTCTGCATTGGCTTCATTTTCAGGCAGATTCTTCCCAGTTGGCAGACCCCCTCTGATGAACTGAGGCTAGCAGAGATCTCATATCATTTAATACCCAGATTCAAATTCCCCTGGAGTGCATTTCCCTTTTTCTTCTGCACAGAGGCTCCTGGAGCGCCTGCACTGGCCACCTGGGTGGCTGCTGTGTTCCAGACTTGCCTCTATAATGTCCCAGGCTCCCTCCTCAGAGTACAGTTCCCGCCACCTCACCCAGCCGTCTTCTCTCTCCAGTCCCAGAGGGATGAGAAAGTCCCTTGCTCTCAGTCTCCCTTGCCCATCTATGGAAGCATAATAGCTGCAAAGATGCAACCTCACCCCAAATGGCAACAGTTTTACAAGCCTTACTGACCCCTAACGTTTCTATCTTGGGCCAGAATTTCTCCTTTTACATTTTATTTTTTTAATTTGTAATTTAATTTAATGTTTTTGGACATAGAGTCTTGCTCTGTTGCCCAGGCTGGAGTGCAGTGGTGTGATCTTTGCTTGCGGCAACCTCCACTTCCTGGGTTCAAGGGATTTTCCTGCCTCAGCTTCCTGAGTGGCTGGGACTACAGGCATGTGCCACCATGCCTGGCTGATTTTCTACATTTGAGTAGAGATGGGGTTTCACCATGTTGCCCAGGCTAGTCTCAAACTTCTGAGCTCAGGCAATCCGCCCACCTTGGCCTCCCAAAGTGCTAGGATTACAGACGTGAGTCACCACACCCAGCCCAGAGTTTCTGCCTTCTTGATAAGGGAGAGGCCTATTGGCTTTTACCAGGGAGTCTCAGAGATTAAATCAGACCTCCTCCTCTACCAGGTCTGTTGGCTGCTCAGAAGTAGTAGTTTTTCTTGTTTTTTTTTTTTTTTTTTTTTTGAGACGGAGTCTTACTCTGTCACCAGGCTGGAGTGCAGTGGCGCGATCTCGGCTTGCTGCAACCTCCGCCTCCCAGATTCAAGGGATTCTCCTGCCTCAGCCTTCTGAGTAGCTGGGACTACAGGCGCACCACCACGCCTGGCTAATTTTTGTATTTTTAGTAGAGACAGAGTTTCACCATGTTGGCCAGGATGGTCTCAATCTCTTAACCTTATGATCTGCCCACCTTAGCCTTCCAAAGTGCTGGGATCACAGGCGTGAGTCACTGCGCCTGGCCGGTTCTTTTTTTTAATGTATTTATTTTTGAGATAGGGTCTGGCTCTTTCACCCAGGCTGGAGTGCGGTGGTGCGATCTCGGCTCACTGCAACCTCTGCCTCCCCGGTTTCCGTCATTCTCCCACCTCGGCCTCCTGAGTAGCTGGAACTACAAGCATTGCGCTATCATACCTGGCTAATTTTTTTTTTTTTAGAGATGGGGTTTTAACCATGTTGCCCAGGCTAGTCTTGAACTCCTGAGCTCAAGCAATCCACTCACCTTGGCTTCTCAAAGTGTTGGGATTATAGGCATGACCCACCGTGCCTGGTCAGGCTTTTGGTTTTTTTTTTGTTTTTTTTTTTGATACTGGGCTTACTCTGTCACCCAGGCTAGAGTATAATGGTGCAATCATAGTTCACTGCAGCCTTGAACTCCTGAGCTCAAGTGATCCTCCTGCCTCACCCTCCTGAGGAACTGTAACTATAGGCACACACCACCATGCCTGGCTAATTTAAATTTTTTTTTTTAAAGATGGGGGTCTTACTGTGTTGCCCAGACTGGTCTCGAACTCCTGGGCACAAGCGGCACTCCTGCCTCAGCCTCCCGAAGCAGTGGGATTACAGGCATGAGTCACTGCGCCTGTTTTCTCTTGGTTCTAGTAGTGATAGCAGTAATAACTAGAATGCCAGGAGCACCTGCCACAGAGCTGGATGCTGTGCTGTGTAGACAGTGGTGACAGCATAGATGTGAAAGACTTTGCAAGACTGTGCTGGGGCCTCAGTGGGGTACAGACTTAAGAGGAAGACAGATTCAGAGACATCAAATGTCCTAGCTGGGCACAGTGACTCATGCCAGCACTTTGAGAGGCTGAGGCAGGCAGATCACTTGAGGTCAGGAGTTCGAGACCAGCCTGGCCAACATGATGAAACCCCTTCTCTACTAAAAATACAAAAATCAGTTGGGCGTGGTGGCAGGCACCTGTAATCCCAGCTACTCGGGAGGCTGAGGCAGGAGAATCGCTTGAACGTGGGAGGCAGAGGTTGCAGTGAGCCAGGATCACACCACTGCACTCCTGCCTGGGCAACAGAGCAAGACTCTGTCTCAGAAAGAAAAAAAAAAAAAAAGAAGTATCATCTCAGATCAGGTGGTCAGTTAGGCTTGGAGCCTGGAGTGACCCTGATCTGATCTCAGAACTTGAGTGGTTTCCACTAAGCCACAGGAATCATAGCCGTTATCCATCCAGCCACACATTCATTCAGCACACAGTCATTGAGCACCTAGTATATGGCAAGCACTGTGTGGGTTGCTGGGGACACAGTAGGGAACAAAGCAGGCAAATATTCTGTTTTTAGGAGTTTGTATTCTCATGGAGGCATCCAGAAATGAACAAACAAGTCAGATGCTCATGTGTTAGGCAGTGATGAGCTCTAAGGAAAGTTAAGTAGAAAGCAGGGGCTAGGGCTGTTGGGGAGTGGGAATGGTAGACACAGGACACAGTGGCCAGGGAAGGCCTAGGTGAGAAGGAGGCTCTTGAGCAAAGACCTGAGGGAGGCAAGGGGGCCCCACAAGCTGGCACGTGAGAGGAGAACCATGCAGGCAGAGGGTCCATCAGTGCAAAGGCCCCGGGGTGGGAGGACCCCTGGCACAGTATAGAAGCATCCAGGCAGGTGGGCGAGGCTGGCTGACCCTGCGCCAAGTGCCATGCACATGATCTCAGCGGTCCTGTGAGCAAGCCATGGTTACTCCCTATGTGCAGAGCTCATGGGTTAAGTCTGTGTGCTCAGGCTCAGTGAGGTTAAGTCACTAGTCCAAGGCCACACAGCTAGCAAGGAGGTAGAGCCGGAATGCAGCAGTGTTCTTTGTTGCTGTGCCTCAGAGTGCCAGAGGCCTCAGTATCAGGGTGCTCAGGTCACTAGGGTGACACCAGGGGCAGCAGTGCTGGAGTGTCAGGTCCTGGCAAGGTCTACACTGTGGCAGAGAAGGTCCGGGGGTCACAGGGAAGTGACTGGGGCAGTGGGGGTGAGGCCCAGGACAATGGCTACTTAGCAGTAGGTATAGAGTATTCGTCACTGCTGCTTGGGGGACAGGCTGGCACCGTGCTCAGCCCTGATGGCCACCGCCTCTAACCCTGCCCGCAGTGTGCTAAGTGCCGAGAATCATTCCATGGGAACCCGCTGGGCGGCCAGCAGTGCTACCGCCTCATCTCAGTGGAGCAGGAGTGCTGCCTGGACCCCACGTCGCAGACCAACTGCTTCCATGAGCCCAAGCGCCGGGCACTAGGCCCTGGCCGCACTGTCCTCTTTGGTGTGCAGCCCAAATTCACCAACGTGGACATCCGCCTGACGCTGGACGTGACCTTTGGGGCCGTGGACCTCTATGTCTCCACCTCCTATGACACCTTCGTGGTCCGTGTGGCCCCTGACACTGGCGTCCATACAGTACACATCCAGGCATCCCAACCCCCACCACCTCCGCCACCCCTTGCAGATGGTGGGCCCCGGGGGGCCGGGGATCCAGGAGGAGCAGGAGCCAGCAGTGAACCGGGCGCCCCAGCAGAGCCACGGGTACGGGAGGTGTGGCCGCAGGGCCTGATTACCTACGTGACAGTGACGGAGCCGTCGGCAGTGCTGGTGGTCCACAGTGTGCGGGACCGGCTGGTCATCACCTACCCGCACGAGCACCATGCCCTCAAGTCGAGCCGCTTCTACCTGCTGCTGCTGGGTGTGGGAGACCCAAGTGGGCCCAGCGCCAACGGCTCAGCCGACTCGCAGGGTCTGCTCTTCTTCCGGCAGGACCAGGCCCACATCGACCTGTTTGTCTTCTTCTCCGTCTTCTTCTCCTGCTTCTTCCTCTTCCTCTCACTCTGTGTGCTCCTCTGGAAGGCCAAACAGGCTCTGGATCAGCGGCAGGAGCAACGCCGGCACTTGCAGGAGATGACCAAGATGGCCAGCCGCCCCTTCGCCAAGGTCACTGTCTGCTTCCCACCTGACCCTACTGCCCTGGCCCCCGTCTGGAAGCCAGCTGGGCTCCCACCACCCGCCTTCCGCCGCTCTGAGCCCTTCCTGGCACCCCTGCTGCTGACAGGGGCCGGTGGTCCCTGGGGACCCATGGGAGGGGGCTGCTGCCCGCCAGCCATCCCTGCCACCACTGCTGGGCTGCGAGCTGGGCCCATCACCCTCGAGCCCACAGAAGATGGCATGGCCGGCGTGGCCACCCTGCTGCTCCAGCTGCCTGGCGGGCCCCATGCACCCAACGGCGCCTGCCTGGGGTCAGCCCTCGTCACACTGCGGCACAGGCTGCATGAGTACTGTGGGGGTGGCGGGGTTGCTGGGGGCAGTGGGCATGGGGCTGGTGTGGGCCGGAAGGGACTGTTGAGCCAGGACAACCTCACCAGCATGTCCCTCTGACATGCCAAGGGTCCTCATCCACAGCAGCTGGGTCACCCAATGGGGCCACCCTGGACTTGGGGTCCCTTCACCTGGGGGGCCCTGGACACTGTCTCCTTGGAGACCACTGGCTCCCTTCCCTCAGGGGTGCCCCGACGGGGCCTCCTTTGTTCTGCATTCAGCAGCTATTTATTGAGTACCTACTCTGTCAGGCACTGTCATAGGCATGGGGCAAAGCAGGAACGGAGAGACGAGGTTCCCTGATCTCATGGTACTTAGGTTCTAGTGAAGGGAGACAATCAGTTCACACGCACACACCCCACATGCACACACACATGAACACTTGCACATGTGCACACACGAGTAACATGGTTTCAGAGAGGGAGAAGTGCCGTGAGGCCTCCAGAGGACGTGGCAGTGAGGGATGACGGGGTGAAGTCGGCTGGACATTCAGAGAAGCTAGACTGAGAATGCCTGAGAAGAACCAGCCACGGGAAGAGCTTCGGGAAGTGAAGGCAGAGGCCCTGGGGTGGGAGCAGGCTTGTTTTATTGGAAGGACTGGAAAACTGGCAAGTGTGACCCAGATCAAGTGTGAGGAGATGAGACTGGGGACAGGCAGGGGCTGGATCACCCAGGGCCTTGTGGACCCCACACAGGGTTTTGGGTTTTATCCTCAGGGCAACGGGAAGCTGTTGGATGGTTTGATGAAGGGGAGTGACAGGATCCGATGTACCTATTTCAGAATTTAAGAGGGCTGGGTGCGGTGGCTCATGCCTATAATCCCAGCACTTTGGGAGGCCAAGGCGGGCTGATCACAAGGTCAGGAGTTCGAGACCAGCCTGGCCAATATGGTGAAACCCCGTGTCTACTAAAAATACAAAAATTAGCCGGGCGTGGTGGCTCACACCTGTAGTCCCAGCTACTTGGGAGGCTGAGGCAGGAGAATTGCTTGAACCCGGGAGGCAGAGGTTGCAGTGCACTCAGATTGCGCCACTGTACTCCAACCTCGGCGACAGAGCGAGACTCCATCTCAAAAAATTTAAGAGGTCACTTAGTTGTGCTGTGGAGAATGGACTGGAGGGACAAGAGGGGCAGCAGGGATGGTGGACTGGAATAGGGTGGTGGCAATGAGTGAGTCCCGCTCAGATGCGGGATGTGTGTGGAAGAATATAATGATGGTGTGGACGTCAGGGTGAGGGAGGAGACAAATCCACGATGACCCCTAGCTTTGTGGCCTGAACTGTGGATGACTGAGGGGGTCGTTAATTGAATGGGGGAGAGTGGGGCTTGTGAGGAAGATCAGAGTCTGGTTCTTGACATGAGATGCCCTTCAGACTTCTCTTCACTCAGGTCCAACTAGGGATACAGAAACACTGAATATTTCAACAGCAGAAATTGAGTAGGGGGATTGGTAGTGCTGGCGAGGGAAGTGGCTGGGAAGAGACAGATGGCATCATGAGACAGCCCAGAGGTGAGCAGGATCCCCAGGCTGCAGGGACAAAGCTCAGCAGTGGTGTTACCTCACCGGGACCAGGGTCACGCAGCGAATGCTGGAACAACAGAGGCGTGTTCAGGGGGAGCCTCAGAGGGGACAAAACCTCTGCCTGAGATCCCACCCCAGGTGGGCATGGGGGACACTGAGGTTGGGGATGAAAATGCTGGTACCGTCACTGCACAGCCCTGTTCCAGACAGTGCTATCTGGAAGATTTCTGGGCTCTCCCGAGGGGCCACGCCACACCTGAGCCACCTCCTTGGACTCCTGTTCTCTACCCCTTGAGGACCTCCCTCCCTTTAACCCTAGCTGTCTTCTTGAACTTGGGACTCTCCTTTCCCAAGACTTCCATCACTAGCTCCTGGAGAAACTGGACTCTGCATCTTCCCTTCACGTGGAGCCTCAGTGTGAGAGGCCCTGCCAATGCATGCATGTCAGAGGTGGCTGGGACCACATCGGAAGAAGAGGGGAGCGACGAAATTAACAAATAAAAACTATGGGCAAGACCCAGGTGTCTGAGTGCATCTGCACATGTCTCAGGAGGGCTGGGTCTCAACTCTGATGCAGCCCCGAACACTGAATAACTTGGATAATTGTCCTTATGATGGTACCACTTCCAAGCTGGGATGGCTTTGTTCCTGAGTGCCCCTCCTAAAGGCGGAAGGGGGAAGGGTCTGCCACAACAGAAGCATAATAAATACCAATAAACAGCTCTTGTTTCCCAGAAGGGATGCGCCGAGGGGAGACGTGGGCAGTGGCTTTTGACCCTTCCCTAGATCTTCCTCAGGGAGACCCCAGTTTGGTTCAGGAGGGGAAATAGGCTGCCTTGGTCCCAGCTACGGCTTTTTGTTGTTGTTTTGCTTTTTGAGCGGACAGAGTCTCACTCTGTTGCCCAGGCTAGTGTGCAGTGGTGTGATCTTGGCTCACTGCAACCTCCATATCCCAGGTTCAAGTGATTTGTGTGCCTCAGCCCACAAGTAGCTGGGATTACAGGCATGCGCCACCATGCCTGGCTAATTTTTTTATATCTTTAGAGGAGACAAGGTTCACCGTGTTGGCCAGGCTGGTCTCAAACTCCTGACCTCAAGTGATCCGCCTACCTTGGCTCCCAAAGTGCTGGGATTACAGGCATGAGCCACCGCACTTGGCCTTGGTTTTTTGTTTGTTTGTTTGTTTTTGACACAGGGTGTCTCTTTTTCTGTGACACAGGCTGGAGTGAAGTGGTGCAATCATTGCTCACTGAAGCCTCAGCTTCCTGGGCTCAGGCGATCCCCCCACTTCAGCCTCCCAAGTAGCTGGAACTACAGACGTGTACCACCTCACCCAGCTAATTTTTGTAATTTTGGTAGAGATGAGGTTTCACCATGTTGCCCAGGCTGGTCTTGAATTCTGGAGCTCAAGTGATCCTCTCCCACCTTGGCCTCCCAAAGTGTTGGGATTATAGGTGTGAGCCACCATGCCTAACTCAGGCACAGATTTTATTCCAGGCCCTGATAGAAGGGTTCGAACCAGACAGGGCCGAGAATGAAATGAGACCCTAGAACAATGAGCTTTCTCTACTTTGATGAGAGTCATAGCCAAAACTGAAAGCATTGTGAGAGCTGCTTTACCTGGTATGCACCTAGGCAAACAAAAACCCTGATTCCTCCCAGGTGGGAGCTGGAGATCCCTCCATCAGCCTCAGCAGCGTAGGCATCTTGCTGGGTGTGTTAAACAATGTAATCTTTTCTGCACAACCCCGCTCCTAAGTGCAGGCTGGTTGCTTCATCAGGTGCTCAGCAGAGGAGGACGATGTGTTGGACTCAGAGGGTGTGTGAGTCTCCGTTATGGGCCAGGAATAACACGGTATTTTCTTTTTTCTTTTTTTTTTCGGAGATGATCTTGCTTTATCACTCAAGCTGGAGTGCAATGATGTGATCTTGGCGCACTGTAGCTTCAACCTCCTGAGAAGACGATTTGCACCATGACTGGGCCTTTTCTCTGGGATGCATAGCCACGCTCCCTGACTCTCACAAATGCCCTATGGTACGTGTTCCTCCCTCCACGTCAGCCCTCCACTATCACTTCTGCCTGCACATACCTGAGTGCAAGTGGCGTATGTTGAGGCGGGAGAGAGTCTGGGCATGGAAGGCTGGATGCCTGAGTTCTAGGCTATGTGTGGCTCCCAACCCCTTGGGGATTTCAGGGATAGAGGGAATATTTTACTGAGAGCTACAGCCCTCCAGACACTGTGCTGGGTGCTTGATGTGAGTCTTAATCTTCCCGTCATCACTGGGAGGTGCTGGCTTGGTTTTCCATTTTGCCCATTCAAAAGCTCTGTTGCCTAAGAACTCAGGGCTAATTAAGAGACGAGCCACTCACAAGCCTGTCTCCGTTGCCCCACACATTACCTCCAAAGTTGCTTCCCTTTTCTAAGCCAGCGTCTTCTGATTGCCTACAATGGGCCCCGCGTTGTGCTGGGAGCTGGGGACAGAGTAGTGAACAAGGTCTCTGCCCTCATGGAGCTGATAAGCCAGTGTGGTGCCCAATAAAAAGTAAATGATGCTGCATGCTGGAAAGTGATAGAAAAGGTAGTGAGAGAGCAGGGGGTTGGCACTGCTTTTTTTTTCTTCTTTTTTTGAGACGGAGTTTTGCTCTTGTTGCCCAGGCTGAAGTACAATGGCGCGGTCTCTGCCTCCCGGGCTCAAATGATTCTC